CTGAGGGAGTGTTGCACTGTTGTGGGGGAGTCAGTGCTGAGGGAGCGCCGCACTGTTGGGGTTCAGTACTGAGGGACCACCGCACTGTCGGGAGGGGTTAGTGCTGAGGGAGTGCCACACTGTCACAGGGTCAGTACTGAGTGAGTGCCGCACTTTCAGAGGGTCAGTGCTGAGGGAGCGCTGCACTGTCAGAGGGTCAGTTCTGAGGGAGTGCTGCACTGTCAGAGGGTCAGTACTGAGGGAGTGCTGCACTGTCAGAGGGTCAGTACTGAGGGAGTGCTGCATTGTCGGAGGGTCACTGCTGAGGGAGTGCTGACTGTTGTGGGGAGTCAGTGCTGAGGGAGAGCTGCAATCTCAGAGCGTCAGTGCTGAAGGAGTACCACACAGTCAGAGGGTCAGTACAGAGGGAGCACTGCACTGTCGGAGGATCAGTGCTGAAGGAGTGTTGCACTGTTGTGGGGGAGTCAGTGCTGCACTGTCAGAGGGTCAGGGCTGAGGGAGCGCTGCACTGTCGGAGGGTCACTGCTGAGGGAGTGCTGACTGTTGTGGGGAGTCAGTGCTGAGGGAGAGCTGCAATCTCAGAGGGTCAGTACTGAGGGAGTGCCACACAGTCAGAGGGTCAGTGCTGAGGGAGTGCTGCACTGTCAGAGGATCAGTGCTGAGGGATGCGGCATTGTTGGAGGGGACTGAGCGACCTCTTCACCTGCCAATATCCTGGGTCAAAAGCTGACCCTCAACCAGCAATATTGATAAAAACAGATTATCTGATTGCCTCAGTGCTGTTTGTGGGAGGTATCTACAGTGCTGTAACATTAAGGTGTGAATGGTGGTGGACAATGAAAGAAATAAGAGGAAATTGAAGTTCTAAAAATATCCCCATTCTCAGTCATGGTGGGGCCCAGCGCATTGGTGCAAAAGACAAGACTGCAGCATATAGAACAATCTTCAGCCAGAAGTACTGAGTGGATGATCCACCTCTGTATGTGCTCGACTCTGTATCCCCTGCCTCACAGATGCCAATCTCCAGCCAATTTGATTCACTCCACGTGATATCGAAAGGACAGTGCAAAGCCTATGGGCCCTGAAAACTTTCCAGCATTAGCACTGAGGATTTGTACTCCAGAACTTGCACTCCCTCAGCCAATCTCTTTGAGTACACTGTAACACTGGCATCTAACCAACAATGTGGAAAATTGCCCCAGTTTGTCCTGCTCACGAGAAGCAGGATCAATCCATCTTGGACTATTCCTGCCCCATCACCTCACAAGAAATGAGTTGGAAGGGGTCTTTGTCAGTGTCAAAGAAACAGTGCCTCCACAGTAAGACCAGGAAAGAGCATCCAGGAATATTTTTTATTCATTCATGGGATGAGAACGTCACTGGCCAGGCAGTATTTATTGCCCAGAGGGCAACGTCAGAGTCAACTACATTGCTGTGGGCCTGGAGTCACATGTGGGCCAGACCAGGTAAGGATGGCAGTTTCCTTCCCTAAAGCTCATTAGTGAACCAGATGGGTTTTTCCCAACAATCAACAATGGATTCATGGTCATCATTAAATTCTCAAATCCACGTTTTTTTTATTGAATTCATATTCTATCATCTGCCATGGCAGGATACGAACCCAGGTTCCCTAAACATTCTCGGTATCTCTGGATGAAACTCCAGCGATAATACCACTGGGAACTGCCTCTTTTCTCAAACCCTGCTGGAGGAAGCCACATCAAATACTGACCAGAGATTCCGTATCCATGTGATCAGTGAGAGGGACCTCCAGCTTTCTATCAGTTTCTCTCTTGGGCAAGGTACAGAACAGTGATTCAGACAGAATCAAAAAAACAGAAAGTGCTGGAGAAACTCAGCAGGTCTGGCAGCACCTGTAGGGAGAGAAACACAGTCAACGTTTCAGGTCCAGTGACCCTTCTTCAGAACTGAGTGTAGTTAGCAAAGGTGATTCAGACAGAGTCTTCAATGTGAAAGCCACATTTTGGAAAATTTGCTGAATTGACGGAAAGGATCAGGACAATTTAACCACCGAACTGTAAATGCTTGCGTCCCGTAATACGCATGTTGTTGGCACACCTTGGGGGTGAGGGGGGACTTAACAGTCCTTTCACCTGGTTGGGGCCTTGCTGTGTAACACTCCCCACCTGTGATCAGGTCGATACTGTTTGAATCCACCAGCTGATGGTTAGTGAAAGGTCTTCAGGTTAAACTCAATCTTCTTTAGGCAGAGGGTCATCAGCCAGAAAGTTTCATTTACACCACAGAATACTATTTCTCAAGTAACTGATGCCTGAACACAATGAAAACTAGTAAACAAAAACAGAATTTGTTGGAAAAAAGCTCAGCAGGTCTGGCAGCATCTGTAAAGAAAAAAATCAGAGGTTAATGTTTTGGGTCTAGTGACCCACCGCTCTGAGGAAGGGTCACCGGACCTGAAACGTTATCTCTGATTTTTTCTTTACAGATGCTGCCACTCCTGCTGAGCTTTTTTCCAACAAATTCTGTTTTTGTTCCTGATTTACAGCATCTGCAGTTCTTCAGGTTTCTATTTTGAAAACTGTTAAACATTTCATTACAGATCACAGCCAATTTCAGCGATTTGACGATGATTAAACTTTAGCTCCTGTACAAAACGAAGTTCAGAAGGTGCGTCACTGGACCCATACCTTAACTCTGCTTTCTCTCTCCCCAGATGCTGCCAGACCTGTTGAGTTTTTCCAGCAATTTCTAACGTTCGCAACTATTAGCTGCATTCTTCAAAGCGCTCCAGGAATTGATTATTCTTAAATACAACAGAAAATAGCTTTATGGTAGAAATACCTAAAGTGAAAGTAGAAAGGGCCGCCAACTGCACTTGGACAAAGCGAAGGAGTAAACAAACATGGGGCAATTTCCAACGCATATTGCGACGGGATTTTCCGTCCGAAAGCAATGCTTTTGGCGAATAATTTCGTTAAACCGAAGCCAGCAGAATATTTCCACCCTCCGCTTTAAAAGAACACCAAACCATCGAGTCCTTTGTTTCACGGTCTGTCCTGGCTCCCTTTACAGAGAGGGACCTGAACCTTAGTCTTTTGGGGTTTTTTTTGTTTTGGTTAAATTAACCCGGGGGCTGGTTTGGGGGGAGGCAGGTGAAGGGGACACAGCCTCTGCGGTTCTGCCAGGGACACATACCTGGCCTGTAGAAAGGAGTCACATTGTACTTACACAGATAGATTCCAATTTCAGTGCCGCTCGCTGCGTGTCTGATCCTCCAGCTTGCTCTGGCCTGTCTTACCACGAGCACGCAGCATTTCAGGGTTAAAGCTTACGTTTCACGGACACTTTTTCCAGTGGAAAGCGTCTTTCCGACTTCACATACCCCCACCCCCGCCCCCGCCTCGCACCCCGCATCCCACCTCTCTCTCAAAGGAAACTACAATGGAAACTGCGAACAAAAAATAACATCACAGAGTTTTTATTTGCAGTCCCACCAGTTTTATCGATGCATTTGGAAACGAATCTACAACCAAATTAAAATGTAAATTTTAATAAGGTCTTTCAAATATCCTGATTGAACTGATGGCCAACGGGGGCATGAAAGATTATCAGCGTTATGCATGAATGTACAGCTGAGGTTAAAATCAGACTAGTCATGATTGCCAGAACAAGGTTGAAGGGCCGAGTGGTCTACTGAAAACAAAAAGTGTTGGCGATCACAGCAGTTCACGCAGCATCCATGGAGAGGGAGCAAGCTAATGTTTCGAGTTTTCTGGAGAAGGGTCCCGACCCGAAACGTCAACTTTCCTGACCCGCTGTGTTCCTTCAGCTCCACACTGTGTTATCTCTGACTCCAGCATCTGCAGTTCTTACTATCTCCGAATGTTGCGAGTCTAGATGACTCTTCATCAGAGCTGACTTGAAGTGTGGAGGGGGCAGCATTTATGCAATAGCGAGGGGTTGGGGAGGAGTGCTGGAGGAGAAAGGGTGTTGATAGAGCAGATTAAGTGATCAGGATGTGAGAATGGCGGAACAGTGGTGTGTCCAACTGCCAGATGGACAGAACAGACTCCCATTGGAGGTGGGAGGACATGGTGGCAGAGAATGTAACAAGGAGAGCTAAAAGAAAGGGAAGGAATAGGAGTTAGTTCACAATCTGAAGATGTTGAACTCAATATTAAGTCCAGAAGGTTATAAAGTGCATATCCCCCTCCACACTTCATGTCAGCTCTGATGAGGCATCATAGATCTGTATGGCATGGAAACAGGCCCTTTGGACCAACTCATCCATGCTGACCAAATATCCTCATCATAGAATCCCTACAGTGTGGAAACAGGCCCTTCGGCCCAACAAGTCCACACTAACCCTCAGAGCATCCCACCCAGATCCATCCCCCTATAACCCACCTAAGCTACACCTCCCTGAACACTACGGGCTATTTAGCATGGCCAATCCACCTACCCTGCACATCTTTGGACTTTGTGAGGAAACCGGAGCATCCGGAGGAAACCCACGCAGACAGGAGAATGTGCAAACTCCACACAGACAGTTGCCCGAGGATGGAATCGAACCCAGGTCCCTGGTCCCAGGTTCCAGCAGTGTTAACCACTTCTTAACTAATCCTAAACTAGTCTAGTCCCATTTGCCAGCATTTGGCCCATATCCCTGTAAACCATTCGTATTGAACAGGTATTTTGTATCGGTCTTCACAGTGGAGGACACTATAACGTGCCAGTAATTGACAAAGAGACGAAGGTAGGTGAGGACATGGAAATAATCATTATTACGGAAGAGGTAGTGTTGGGCAAGCTAATGGAGCTAAGGATTGATAAGTCTCCTGGCCCTGATGGAATGCATCCCAGGGTACTAAAAGAGATGGCGGGAGAAATAGCAGGTGCACTGGCGGTAATTTTCCAAAATTAGCTGGACTCTGGGGCAGTCCCAGCAGATTGGAAAACAGCAAATGTGACGCCACTGTTTAAAAAGGGAAGTAGACAAAAGATGGGGCTTTATAGACCGGTTAGCTTAACCTCTGTAGTGGGGAAGATGCTTGAGTCTATTATCAAGGAAGAAATAGCAAGGCATCTTGATAGAAATTGTCCCGTTGGGCAGACGCAGCATGGGTTCATGAAGGGCAGGTCATGCTTGACAAATCTTTTGGAATTCTATGAAGACATTACGAGCGAGGTGGACAATGGGGACCCAGTGGATGTGGTGTACCTAGATTTCCAAAAGGCCTTCGACAAGGTGCCGCACAAGAGGCTACTGCATAAGATAAGGATGCATGGCATTAAGGGTAAAGTATTAGCATGGATAGAGGATTGGTTGACTAACAGGAAGCAAAGAATGGGGATAAATGAGTGCTATTCTAGCTGGCAGTCAGTGACTAGTGGTGTGCCTCAGGGATCGGTGTTGGGACCGCAATTATTTACAATTTATATAAATGATTTGGAGCTGGGAACCACCTGTAGGGTGTCAAAGTTTGCAGATGACACTAAGATGAGTGGCAGAGCAAAGTGTGCAGAGGACTGTGAAACTTTGCAGAGGAACATGGATACATTGAGTGAGTGGGCAAAGGTCTGGCAGATGGAATACAATGTAAATAAATGTGAAGTCATACATTTTGGTAGGAGTAATAGTAAAAAGGATTATTACTTAAATGGTAAAAAGTTGCAGCATGCTGCTATGCAGAGGGACCTGGGTGTCCTTGTGCATGAATCTTAGAAGGTAGGTCTGCAGGTACAACAAGTAATTAGGAAGGCAAATGGAATTTTGTCCTTCATTGCTAAAGGGATTGAAATTAAAAGCAGAGAGGTTATGTTGGAGCTGTACAAGGTGCTGGTGAGGCCACACCTGGAGTACTGTGTGCAGTTTTGGTCTCCTTACTTGAGAAAGGATGTATTGGCACTGGAGGGGGTGCAAAGGAGGTTCACTAGGTTGATTCCGGAGTTGAGGGGGTTGGCTTATGAGGAGAGACTGAGTAGATTGGGATTATATTCATTGGAATTCAGAAGATTGAGGGGGGATCTCATAGAAATATGTAAAATTATGAAGGGAATAGATAAGATAGAAGTAGAGAGGATGTTTCCACTGGCAGGTGAAGCTAGGACAAGAGGGCATAGCCTCAAGATTAGAGGGAGCAGATTTAGGACTGAATTGAGAACGAATTTCTTCACCCAGAGGGTTGTTAATCTATGGAATTCCTTGCCCAGTGAAGTAGTTGACGCTACTTCAGTAAACGTTTTTTAAAAAAAGGTAGATTTTTTTTGAACAATAAAGGAATTAAGGGATATGGTGATAACGCGGGTAAGTGGATCTGAGTCCACGAAAAGATCAGCCATGATTTTATTGAATGGCGGAGCAGGCTCGAAGGACCAGACGGCCTACTCCTGCTCCTAGTTCTTATGTTCTTATTCATATACTCATCCAGATGCCTTTTAAATATTATAATTGTCATCTAGACTGGAAACGCTAGCTTAATTTCTCTCCATGGATGCTGCCCGGCCTGCTGTGATCTCCAACACTTTTTGTTTTCAGTACAGATTCCAGCATCTGCAGTAATTTGCAGTGTAGCCTGTTGTTGTTCCTTTTTCATAACAGCACAGGGCTTCACTGGGATTAAGTCTATTAGACCAAGCTTGTATTGAGGAAGATTTCAATCATGAGACTCCAGTTTCTTTTCCTATTTTCAAATCAACCTGTTCAGAGATGTTATTACACACCTCTGGAGCAGGTGGCACTTGAAAGCATGTCTTCTAGCTCAGAGGCAGGGACACTATCACTGCATCAGAAGAACCCATGAGACTCCAGTTAAGAATTAACTCACTCAGCTACGGTTAAAATCAAGAACAAAAACAGTTGCTGGAAAAGCTCATCGAATCAGAGATAGTAGGAACTGCAGATGCTGGAGAATCTGAGACAACAAGGTGCAGGGCTGGATGAACACAGCAGGCCAAGCAGCATCATAGGAGCAGAGAGGCTATTGCAGGGCTGGATGAACACAGCAGGCCAAGCAGCATCATAGGAGCAGAGAGGCTATTGCAGGGCTGGATGAACACAGCAGGCCAAGCAGCATCACAGGAGCAGCAGGCCTGGCAGCATCTGTGAAGGAAAAAACAGAGTTAACGTTTCGGGTCACAGGATCCGCAGTTCTTTCGGTTTTTATTTACAGTTAAAATCAGATCAGTTTGTCCATAATGGGCTTTGCATGTCAACTTCTAATTGGTTGCACAGGTGATTACTGGTGGGGCTAAACGGTTTAAAAAAAAGTCTTGGAGATTTGGTGGTTTGAAAGTCATTGTGTATGTGTATGATAACACTTCCGGTCTAAAACTAAATCAGATCAGCCACGATTTTATTGAATGGCAGTACAGGCTTGAAGGGCTGAGTGGCCTACTCTTGTTCTTTGTTTGTGTGTTCTTAAAACAAATTAAATTGAAAAATGTACAGGTTACCAATTAGGACAAGACAGGGTCTAAGGAAAAAGAGAATCTGCAGGAGTGACCTGGCATCATTAAAATGATAACTGAATTTCCATCCTTCAGGTCTTGAAGCTACCCAGGTTTATCTCTGAGACACACGGTGCTCCTCGGACTGCTATTCTCACTGCATCCTGCGACCCACACTCAGTACCATGCATTGACACATGCACACTTAGAATCACAGAAGTGTTACTGTGCAGAAGGAAGCTATTCAGCCCATCATGTCTGCACCAGCCCTATTATCCAGTACCAATCTTTTGCCTTTTCCCCATAGCCCTGCACATTATTACCATCCAAATGACCATCTAATGCCCTCTTGAATGCTTTTATTGAACCTGCCTCCAACATATTTCCAGGCAGCGCATTCCGTATCCTGCTGTGTGAAAACACATCTTTCTCACAGCGAGAGAGATAGTAGGAATCTGAGAAAACAAGGTGTAGAGCTGGATGAACACAGCAGGCCAGGCAGTATCAGAGGAGCAGGAAAGCTGACGTTTCGGGTCTGGACCCTTCTTCAGATCTGCACATCACTTTCAACCTATTCCATCTTGTCTTTTCTTTTATGAGTGGGGAACAGCTTCTCCCTATCTACCCTCTGTAGTTTGCTCATGATTTTGAAAGCCTGTATCAAATCTCCTCTTAGCTGCCTTTTCTCCAAGGAGAACTGTTCCAACCTTTTCAATCTATCCTCATTACTGAAGTTTCTCACTTCTGAAGCCATTCTTGTAAATTACTTCTGCATTCTCTCCAATACATTCACCTTATTTTTATAATGTACACGATACTCTGCCTGAGGTCTAAAAAGTATCTTGGACAAGTACAATATCATGTCCCTGTTCTTGTACTACAAGTCTCCAATAATAAAGTTGAGAACACTGTGTGCTTTAATGACTGCTCTCTCCAACTGTTCTACCACCTTC